GCCAATATTCCTTCGGCGCCAATCTACAAAGTCCGTTCGTTTGGTTTACCGGTCCCCGAGTGTCGCTATTACAGTGTCTCGTCCCCAATCTCGACGACTATCCTCTTATCCTCCCCCCCTGGGCGTAAGCGCGAACGACTTTTAAGTCGCCCATGACGAAGTCACGAATCTCCGTCGTTACATAGAAACCCGTAGTCTGAACCAATAGCAACCCTGATATCGACGTGACAAAAGAGTAAACCTATACTTTCTTTTCACCTATTTCTTCTGCGAACAAACACAGCCATGGAATTGCTACCACCACCACCACCACAACAACAACACCGCACGTACCGGGCCCATCATGCTCGGGAGCGCGGCCAGCATCCGCACTAAGTGCTCAAGCCCGTAGATATCGCTGGCCGAAATGCCGTCCGCGTCGCTGAACAAGTCGCCCGCCCGGTCTGCTCGCGAGGGCTTCGACTTCTTCGAGCTCTTGGGACGACTGCCACCGCTCCCGCCGCCGCTCCCAGTCGTCCCGGCGTCTGCTGCTGCGGCATAGCTCTGGAGCGTCTACCGTTTCACGGGAAAAAAAAAAAAAAAAGCCGGCAAGCACATGTCGGACAAGCAAGCAACGATTTTGTCAGTCTGTCGGTCGCTTCGCGAAAAGCACGCGCGAACTACAGAAGAACCTCTTCTTTCCCAACGGCTCGCTCGTTCCGTTCCGAATGTCCTCTGTGGGGTAGCCCAATTCCACGGTAACGAACATATGGGTTGTTGTAATTCGAACATTCGAACCCTCGCATTTTTATTGCTCAATGTTGTTGTTGTTGTTGTTGTTGTTGTCGTCGTCGTCGTCCATCAAAAAAAAAAAAAACCGTTCCAGCGTTTGCTCCTTCCATACATAACCACACCTGTCCAGCTGACGCGGACGCCTTCCGTGGTCAAAAGGGCAAACTACCAAGTTCTCAAGCGGCGGTGCCGTCGGTAGTGCTACAAAAAGAGACCAAAGAGACAAGAGAAATGGGGTTACCACCAGAAACAACGACGCGAAGGCAACCAGATGCCTGCCACCAAAAATGGGGACGCTTTTGCCACCAAGACTCACGTCTTCATCAACACCCACGATAAAGATTTTCTCGTTTCCCTCGGGACTACTCGTACCTGTCCGTCCCCGTCCCCGTCCCCCCCGACGTCGATAGCCTCTTCATCCCTCAGCTCTTGCTCGCGCTCCTTGTCCAGCCTGAGCTGAGACTCCGCGTGGGTGAGCGCCTGTACGAGCTGCTCTTGTTCCGCAGGGAAGAGAAGAGGAGTGTCCAGAAGACCGTCGAAGCTGACCAAGTAGGCGAGGGACGGGGGGGGGGGGGGTGTACTCTTATT